ATGATCTCAGCTCACTGCAACCTCTACCTCCCAGGTTCAAGCAATTTCTCATGGCTCAGCCTCCTGAGTAGCTGGAATTACAAGCGCCCACCACCACATCTAGCTGATTTTTTGTGTTTTAGTACAGATGGGGTTTCACCATCTTGCCCAGGCCAATCTTGAACTCCTGAGCTCAGGCAATCTGCCTGTCTCGGCCTTCCAAAGTGCTAGGATTACCGGTGTGAGCAACTGGCGCCCAGCCATGCCCAGTTAATTTTTGTAAAGATGGGGTTTCACCATGTTGGTCAGGCTGGTCTTGAACTCCTGACCTAAGGTGATCTGCCCACCTCAGCCTCCCAAAGTGCTGGGATTACAGTCGTGAGCCACCTTGCCCAGCCAGCTCCCCCATTTTAGAACAATCCATATCTACTTAGCTCTGCTTAAATGTCTTCCTCCATTTTCCCTAACCCTGCACAAACCTGAGAGGGACAATGTATAAGAGCCAGTGTCACGCGTACCTTCTGCCAATTCTTTGGCAATCCGTTTCAGTTCATCCTGCTTCTTCTTCTCCTCTGCCGCTATCCTCCTCTCCTCTTCTGCCCGAGGTTTTAGATATCCTGTTTCAGGGAATGAACTTCACTGCAAGTGCTGCTTGAAAGGAACTGAGTCCACACAGGTCAAGGTATCTTCAGCGACGCTGTGAACCAGACGCACCTGCTGCCCCTCTCTTTATGTCAATGGGGTCAAGGCTTGACCTTCACCCTAAAGAGTCCAACCCAGAGGCTACAGGGTCCCTGCTGCCCCTCCCCTCACGAACTGGCTCCTTCGTCCTCTGCAAACAGGGACTGCCTCCCGCCAGACCTCAGCACTCCAACACCCACTCGGCACCCGTTTTCACCAAGAAGCAGCCGTTTTCGAGTCCCCTGCCCGGGCCTTAGAAGTCTGAGCTTTGAGTGAGCTGATTCCCAGTCACTCCGACCTCCCCGCCGCGCTCTCGGAGCCACGCTCGGTGGAGGACACGGTCCTGCATCCTCGCATCCGTCCCAGCCCCGCTTCCAGAGCCGGAGTTCACCGAGCGGCACAGGAGCTCCCCAGGAAAGCCGAGTAGACCCCGCCCCGGCCCCGCCCGCGGTCACTCACTGTAGCGCGTGGCTCCGTAGGCCATGCCGAGGAACAAGAAGGAGTAGCGGCCGAGCTGCGAGAGAGGACAGTCAGCGGCGGCGGGGGACCGGGCTCGCGGGGCAGGGGTCGCGGGAGTAGACGGGGTGGGGTCGCGAGGTAGAGATCGCAGGAGGTGTGGGGGTAGGGTCGCCAGGTGGGGATCATGGGAGGGGAGGGGATCGAGGGTCGCAGCCCGCAGGGTTGGAGCTGTGGGGAGGGACACGAGGGGGCCAAGGCACTGGACGGCGGCTGCGAAGCCTGAATCACCTTGATGAGCGGAGAGACCTGCACCGGCGGCACCATCTTGTCCGTGACCTTCGCACCGGAAGCACAACCCACAGACCGAGGAGGACGCCACACAAGCCCGCAAAGCCGCTGAGGCAAAGGCGAGCTGGGTGGACGCATGCGCTGTTAGCTGCGAGGGAGCGGAGGCGGGGAGCGCCCCTGGCGGCCGGAGGGTGACTGAGTCCTCCAGCGCGGCGGTGACGTCACATGGAGCGCAAGCGCACACGAGCTGGGGTGCGCGGATGACCTCCGGCTGCGCCTGCGCAGTCGCTGCATGCGGCGGGCTCTGCGTGGAGTGGGCGGGGGGTCCACAGCCGAGACGGTGGACGCGCGCGTGCTCTGCCCTCCTGCGCGGGGCGTCCGGGGCCTGAAATCGGGGCGGCTCGGGCGGGCCCAGCCCCGCGGCCCGCGCCCCACTGAGGGCGGCCTGGGCCGGGAGCCGAGTGTGAGCCGAGCGCCGGCGGCTCCCGGGCAGGTCCCTTCCCGGGCAGGTCCCTTCCCGGGCAGGTCCCTTCCCGGGCAGGACAGTGGCCTCTGGCCGGCGTCTGTCTCCGGCCGGGCCGCGGGAGCACGGCCTCCGGGCCCCTTTCCTGTGGCTGCTCTGCCTGGGAGCCCCGGGCCACCCGCCCGTCCCCGCGGACCCCCCGTCACTTCCGTCCCGAGGAGGGGCTGGGGAAGACGCCGGGACTGGAAGACCAGCCCCCCGAGGCTTGGGGACCACCGAGCCCACTCTGGTCCCTGCTGGCCCCCGTCCGCGCCCCAGGCAGCTCCCCCTGTGCCCGAGGTGCTGACCCGCCAGCCCGGTGGACACCAGGCCTGCAGTCGGCGGGGAGCCTTGCCGCTGCCACGTCCTGGGTCTTCCTGGCGGCAGCCGTGCCTCTCGTGCCGGGCCACCCACGGCCCCCTTTGGCAGTGAGGCAAGGCCTCCTGTGTCCCAGTCTCCCGGCCCTGCACGGCGGCAGGCAGAAGCAACCGGAGAACCATGGCTGGGGCCCCGCTAAGGCGAAGCATCTCAAACTCCAGGTCCTCCCCCGCATGGGGAGGCGTTCTGAGCCGCCTCTGGCCTCTCCTGGCTTGCTCCGGGGTCCAGGCTCTGGGCCTCTTTGGCTGAGAAACCGGGAAATCACTGGGCTGTTTCCTGGGCTGGGGATACCGAGGCCGATCCTGTAGGGCCGCGGACCGGTAGCGGTTTGTGGCCGGTTAGGAACCGGGCCGCACAGCACGAGGTAAGGACAGAGGAGGTAGCGAGGCCGCCGAGCCCGGCCACTGCCAGATCAGCCTCCGCATTAGATTCCCATAGGAGCAGGAACCCTATTGCGAACTGCGCACTCCAGGGATCTGGGTCGCGCGCTCTTTATGAGAATATAATGCCTGGTGAAATGAGGTGGAACAGTTTCATCCCAAAACCTTCCCCATACCCTCCCACACACGGAAAAATTGTCCTCCATGAAATGGTCCCAGGTGCCAAAAAGGTTGGGGACCTTTTTGGGGCCACTCGATCTTTTCTCCAGCTTCTGTGAGGTGCCCTGGAGCCCCTGAAGACTCCTGCCTGAAGCCTCTGCCTGAGCCCTGTCCTCAGGGGGCCAGAAGCAAACCCCAGCGCCTCCCACTGCTCACTGAGGAAGGCGCAGGTGCGCTGGATCCACAAGGCACAGAACCATCCTGGCCCCATAAAGCCCCTCCTTTGGCTGGGGCAGACGCCCTCGGGGACAATGGGTTTTCCCTTCACTGGATTTTAAAATAAACTAGACTCCTCAGCAACTCCTGCTTCCAGAATCAAAAATAAGTGTCTCTGGGGCCCAAGGTTGGGGGTGAGGGAGACATACCAGCAGCTGCCACTGGAGGCGGGGCGGGGTAGGGCACACACACTGCCCAGGGAAGACCCTCTGAAGTCGATGGAACCTGCCTTTGCTCAGGGCCCTTTCCGGGGCTTAGTGGGGACAGGGGTCCCACCTGGCTCAGGACACCGCCCACCGGGGCCTCTGCAACTGTCTGGTCAGCTGTCAGTGCAGAAGCTGATACTCCCCTGGCTCAGGCTCTGCTGCTATCTTTAGCGATGTGCTCAGACTCCAGTGGCCTGGGACCCCTCTGCAGGGGCTCTGCAGCCCTTCTCACATTCCCGGTGGCCTCGGGGTGGGAGGAGGCTCCCAACCATGCTTCCTCCTTGGGTGTGGTTCTCCCCACTCTTGCAGCCCAGCAGTGCCCCTCGGGGTCACACCCAGACCTCACTGGACTGGGAGCAGGGGATGCCAAGGCCCTTGCTCCCAGCTCCAGGTTCCCAAACCTGGTCACACATTTGCCCCTTGCAGGCTGCCCCAGCTCCCTCCTGGGTAGCTTATGCCTCCCAGGGTCCTCGACCTCAGGCGTCTGTGCTGCATGAGGCCGCTGGCCCTGGGGATGGAGCCCCAGCACCTCAGGGGACACCGACTGTGAATGCGTCCCTCGGGGGTAGGACCTCCACGCAGGACTGCAAGAGGCACCGCACCTGTCTTAGCTTTGCAGACATGGTGGCGCCCCCAGGGCCCCCACCTGACTGCTGTGGCTGCACACACTCACTCCCACCCCCGCCCCTGCAGCCCAAAGAGGCAGCTGCCCTGGGTCCTACTGCCTGCTTCCTCCCACCCAGATGCAGGCCGAGGGGCTCTGAGAGCTTGCTATCTGCTCAGCCTGCAGGCCTCCTCCTCGATTCTGCTTGGCCAGCCGACCCCCCTCCCACCCCTTGGACCAGGGCATCTGGATTCTGACCTTGAGGTGCCCTCCAACGTCCGGTACCACCAACAGACCCCGGGCCAGGTCCCTCCCCCAGACTCTGCCCCTGAGGCCATGTTATAGGGGGAAGAGCAGACTCAGGGTCCTGGCGGCCCCATCCCGGCCCATCTGAGCAGCCTGGCCATCTTCAGGGTCCCAGAAATGTCAGCACCCATGGGCCAGGCAAGGAGCTCCCAGCCATGAGGTCAGAAGAAGTGGTCTCAGGGCCAAGGCTATGGACTGATTTTTCTGCCACGGAGGCAGGGAGAGGCGTGGACCCCCGACACACCGTGTGCTTGGCATAAGCCTGGTGACCAGCTGCAGTCGCCCACAGCAACTTTGTGCAAATCTAGAAAAGATGCCCCTTCCTCTGGCTCCTGCAGTTTCAGGGTGCCCAGGCTGCCAGCCAAGAGCATGTGCAGGTGGCCCTAGTGACACCCAGAATCCTTGGGAGAACAAAGCCTCCCTGGGGGCAGGGGACACGTGGGATGGGAGGTAGACCTGGCTGGAGGTGCCTGGGGGGCTGGGAGCCTTTCGGGGTGGGGCAGGGCAAGGGTATGAGTCACTGCTGGGCTGCCAAAGCTCACTCTGCAGTTGTCCAGTCCCCTGGGGTGGCCCCAAGCCTGTCCTTGTAGGGAGTGGCAGCCGGAGTCCGAGCTGCCCTGGGGGACCAGGCAGGAGCTTAAGATGGGCAAGACCCAGTGTTCTAGGCAGATGCATTGAAACAGGCAGAACCAGGCATGGTAAGCAGTCCGCCATGCAGGCCTGGGGCAGGCGCGTGTGAGTGTGAGCTGTGCCGTACGTGTGTGCGTGTGCACAGACAAGAGCCTGGGCGTGCCTGTGCATGTGTGAGTGTGTGCATGTGTGTGTGACTACACGGGTGTGGGCATGTGCTGTGTGTGTATATGTGCATATGTCAGTGTGTGCACACACACATGCACATATATGCATATACACTCATGCATATGTGCACCCCACATACATTTGCATGAGTGTATATGTGCATATGTGTATGTGTGCATATGTGAGCGTGTGTATGTGCGTGTGATCATGCAGTGTGAGTCATGCAGTGTGGGTGTGTGCTGTGTATGCATGTGTGTGTGCACAAGCGTGTGTATGCGCATGTGATCATGCAGTGTGTGAGTTCAGGTGCGGGCGTGTGTTTTGTGTTCATATGTGCATGTGTGTGACCATGCAGGTGTGGGGGTGTGCTGTGTGTGCATGCATGTGCTGTGTGTGCATATGTGAGGGTGTGTATGAGCGTATGTGCGTGTGTGTGACCATGCAGGTGTGGGCGTGTTTTGTGTGGTAGGAGGTACAAGCTCCTGCCCTGGTGAGAGTCAGAGCAGGATGAGGGAGTTCCTAGCCTTCACGAAATCCTGGTACCCAGAACAAGCCCACCCAGAGTCCACTTGCCCCTCAAGCCTTCAGAGGCTGAGCTGGCTGCTACTGGACCAGGAACCCTGACCCCTGTGCTTCGTGGGCATCTGGGAGCCACTGTCCCTCCCCGACTCCCTGTGCTGAAGCTAGACACCTGCAGTCACTGCGTCCCCACCCCCACACAGCTGCCCAGGCTTGAGGCTGGTGTGCTCCTCAGCAGTCTGGCCCCCTCCAGCCCCAGGGCTGAGGTCCACCCTTCATCTGAGTTAAGTCTCTCAAAACTCCGGGTGCCCTGGAGGGTTTCCTCAGCCATGGTGCTCCCTTTGCAGGCCAGCAGGAAGACCAAGAAGAAGGAAGGGGGGGCCCTCCGGGCCCAGAGGGCATCATCCAACGTCTTCTCCAACTTCGAGCAGACTCAGATCCAGGAGTTCAAGGAGGTGAGACTGTCCTGCCTCACTGGGAGCCCCTGTCCTCACTTGGGGTGCTGAGGAGCTGGGAGCAGGGGGCAGGGGCAGAGCCCAGCTGGGCCAGCAGCACAGCAGCCCTGGCCTCGGTTCCCAGGCGTTCACACTCATGGATCAGAACCGAGACGGCTTCATTGATAAGGAGGACCTGAAGGACACCTACGCCTCCCTGGGTAGGTACCCAGGCAGAACACCTCAGCCCTTGAAGGAGGTGAACACAGAATGTCCTCCAGCCCCAGACGCCCTGGCCCCTCCTCCTTGAGTGGATCCAGGGCCCTGAGGCTTCGAGGGGATGGCCCCGGCCTCCCTTGGTTCCATCAGACCTGGCATCGAGCGTCCCAGGGTGAGACAGGGTAGGTGGTATAGCCCACACCTGAAAACTTGGAGTGGGCTTTGGGCAGCTCCAGGGAGGGGCTGGTGCTCCCGTGGGAAGCCATAGGCAGCCAGGCAACTTGCCCCCAAGCCGGACCACAGAGCTGACAGAGGGTGTGGGGACTCTGCTGGGCCAGATCACAGAGCTAGGGGTGGGGAGGGCCTGGAGACCCTGCCCAGCCAGACACAGAGCTGGGGGGGAATGGAAACCATGTCCAGCCTCCGCAGCACAGCACAAATATGGTGGGGACCCTGCCCTCCCCAGCCTCAGTTCTCCCTGTGGGATGTTCTCTTCCCAGCAGCTGCCTCTGGACAGAGGCAGTAGGGCATGGGGCTTCGGTCCTGCCCTGGGAGCTGGGGAGTGATTTCTTCTTGGGGTGGGAGGGTCGCAAGTGCCCCACTTTCCTCCTGGCCCTGCTTTCACCAAAGTAAGAACGGCAGCTCCCAGCACCTTCCCGAGCTCTGTGTCACCTCCTTCTCCCTCAGTGCTTAGTCCTGGGGCTCAGGGTTTGGGGCAAAGTGAACACAGTCAGAAGCAACCCCTGCCCGACACGCCGGAGCCAAGCTCCTCCTTCCCACTCCCTGCCCACCCCTCCCATCTACCTGCCTGACCTGGTGCTGGAGTCACCTGCTGGGGGGACAGCAAATGCAGCAACAGGCCCTGCCCCATGACGCCCCCGAGTCTGTGACAGGCAAGACCAACGTCAAGGACGACGAGCTAGACGCCATGCTCAAAGAGGCCTCCGGGCCCATCAACTTCACCATGTTTCTCAACCTGTTCGGGGAGAAGCTGAATGGTGAGCACCGGTGGGACAGGCCTTGCCCTCCTAGTTAATTCCTGGAAGCCAACAGCTGTGGGGCCCCATCAGCCGCATCAGAGCTGTTCACTCAGGCCCTCAGGCCCCCACTCCTGCCCCACACGCTGTCTGACCCACAATCGGGGACCTTGGTCACCACTCACCCCCAGCTCCAGGCCTGGGCTGACCCTAGGCACCATGAAAGTCATTAGACCCCAGGGCAGGAGTGCCCGATAAGACCCCCTAGGGGTCAGGAGTGGAGAAGGCCTTCAGGCAGAGGGCACCTTGTGGCAGAGGCTGGGAGTCCCGGGAGAAGGGGTCTGGCCTCCTGCCATCTGCCCTTGGCAGCCGCAGCAAGACTGTGACTCGGAAGCGCAGGGCTGAAGGCACATTTGTGGCAGGTACCGACGCAGAGGAGACCATTCTAAACGCCTTCAAGATGCTGGACCCGGATGGGAAAGGGAAAATCAACAAGGAGTAGTGAGTGTCCGGCTCGGGTACGGTGGCCCGGCCTCCGGGGGTCCCCAACAATCTCACTCTGCCCCAAAAGGGACAGTCAGCCACCAGACAACACGCCCACATCTCCGCCTCTGACCAGCTTCAGGGTCACCAGGAGCAACCTAGGATCCCAGCTGAGTGGGTGGGACCAGCCTTGCCCGATGCAGCAACCAGCTGCCGGCCCCTGGGGGCACTTCCACTCAGGCCACTCCTCCATCTTCAGCTCCTGCCAGGTGCTGAGAATGTGCCAGGCACTTTCATGTAACTTCCCTCAGGCTCTGTCCCCATCAGTGGCCCCCAGGGGGGACCCCAGCAATGATGACCCCTGAGTGTGTCCTCTGAGTTCCCTCAGGCTCTGTCCCCATCAGTGGCCCCTCAGGTGCCCCTGCCCAGTAGTGATAATCCCTGAATGTTGTTGGGAAGGGACCTGCCTCAGGGCCACATTCCTGCGGGAAGGGTGGGAGTGCGGTGAGCAGGTGCAGCCTGCGTGAAGGGTGAGAGTGCGGTGAGCAGGCGCAGCGTGGGGGAAGGGCGGGAGTGCGGTG